CCCCCCCTCTCACACCCGCACGCACCTCCAAAAGTTTGCTTGCAAGAGAAGAGATCGCTCCCATCCCAATGAGACCTATTCACCCAGTACAGGCCATATTAGGGTATATTCGAATTCGATCCATATTAGGAATGTAAATGGAATATCTTGTATTATTAAAAAATGTGATGTGTCTTGTATTATTAAAAAATGTGATGTGTAATCTATATTAGGAATGTAAATGGATCGGATCAGATTTGAATCAGGGTATATTCGAACTCGATCTGACATTGTTTATGTTTGATTTGAGAATTTGATCGGATCTGATAGGACTTGATTTGAATTCGAATTTTATTGGCAAGTCAAATCTTCATATCTGATCTAATCTGACTTGTTTTCTTTAAAAATTGTTTTCATCATATATATACATGTTTTTTATAAAAAATAAATAATATAACAAACTTATAAAAATATATTTATAAATAAATAAATAATATATGTATTATATATTTATATTTATAAATATACAATATATATCGGATCTAATCTTCTCAGATCGGATAGGGATAATCCGAATGCAACCAAATAGAATCAGATCTCCGATTGGATAAAATCATGATCCGATCCATTTGCACCCCTACATTCAAGTATTAGCATGCATCATGCATGTTAAAATCACGCTTGAAAAAGATTGAAAATTGAGAACAAGTACTACTCCACCACCACCCAGTCACCAATATTTGGCTTGAAGGCCAAGTAAATAACCTCCAATCGGAACACGCCAGAGGCTTAATATAGAGCTATCAATGGGTCAAGTCTGGTTTGGGACAATATGTACACCAGTCTTGAACTGATTGTTACTCGGTTCTATAAGAAATCAAGACCCAGAATTCAAACCAATTATTAATTGGGATAATCAGGTCTCACCCGTTTAGACATCTCTAATTATCTATGATAATAAAAATTTAAGACTTCATTTTTATAAATATAACCTTATTAAAAACAACAACATAATTGTAAACTATTTATATATTGATAGAACAAGTGTTCTTAATCGAAATTTATCTTTTTAAACATAAAATATAACAAAAATCAGGAAACCTTTGTATATGATTGACTATATAATTGATTCTGATCTTAATCGAATATTCATATAATAACAAGAAGTGGCCCACCCAATAGAGTTGGTTAATTGGCTCAGCAGTCTGGGTTTGGACCGGTCTAGTGAATCTATAGAATTGCAAGTAATATATACAACCCTACAGGATATAAATAAATATAAAGTAAAAGTGAATATAAGCTTTAATTTCTTTTGTTGTGTGTGTAGATGTGATGATTCCTAAAGCAAATGAAAAGACTGGTGTGGTTATTTAATAAGTAGTATTAGTAGCCTAAATATTTATTAAATAGCATGGGGTTGGGCAAATTTTGGTATTAGTGATTTGGTTCACGTTTTGGCTGTATTTGATTTCTATCAATTATAATTGTGATTGTTATTTGAATATTGTGTGTTGGATGATTTGTACTTTACTAGGAGATTTGGTTGTAGAGAGAACACATGTCATGAGCCATGTCGGCCACTGAGCTGCGCCTGGACATGCAGTTTTGAATCCCTGATCACCTTCGATGATGACTGTGTCTCCCACAATCCAAGCGTGATTGACGTTCCCCTTCCCTTCACAAGTTCAGATCCTTCTAACTTCAATGACAAACCATCCAAAGTGTTGGACCAAGATATCTTGAGCGCAATCAATCTTATACCCACATCTCGATAAAGCTACTGTTTTTGGTAGTTTGGTACCGGTCTCTGCCCTAAGGCTCACATGGACTTTTAGTTTAAGGATACCATGACTCATGAGCGGACCCTGACCTCCTGGTCCCTACCACTCAGTCATGACTCGTCACCTCATCGCTTGATTTGTTTCCTCGAGGCTCGACCCAGTCGGCCATTGGTTTCAATCTTAGTCTATCGATTGGGGTGTCTTTTGCTTTAAGCAACTGGTTTAGGCGGCCCTACCGGAGACAATTATCGGTCCATGAAGGTGTAACGTGTTATTTTGTGAATGTGGTTAGCAGTTGGCAGTTAGCACCCGACAGACTCTACGGTCGGGGCACAAAGCTCTAGCTAGCCTCCATCATGTGTGTCAAAGATTGGAACAACTGCGGTTAAGGACACAGTGGTGATGGATATTGAGCTTAGATGATGGCGGGCTTATCTGCTTAGGTTGCAAGGCCTGTTTGTGATTGGTGGTAATCTTGGATGCTCAAGCACGCAAAATACTGCAGTAGTTTCTGGGCGTCTTGAGCAGTGTTTTCAATCCACCGTTGACTTCGATGGTTGAATCATTCAAATCGTTACCTGGTTATATTCGGATTCCATTTTCTTAAAACCCAAAAGTTTTTCGAAAACTGTTGACTTGGTCGTCAAAAATCATTCAAGGCAGATGATTGAAATTAACTTTTGAAGGCCATAACTTTATACTTAGTTATGTGATTGGAGTGCTATTTATGTTGGTTTTGGATAACTTTTTGATATTCATGTGTTTTAAGTGCAAAAATATCTTTTTTGGCCTAAAAACCCAATTATTAATATTTTTATAGATAAAAAATTAAGAATATAAATTAACATAAAATATTACATGTAAAATATAACTATACATTATTTTATTTATATAATAAATGTTTACATATATAATATGTTGATCTGCCATGGTTTAACCTGTTTGGTTATGATATTGGAACTGATAACCCATGATGACCCAAAGACAAAAATGATTGAACCTCTGAATTTGGTTTTTAAAACCATAGTTTTGAGGAGAGGAAACTTATACAATTTACACTTATAGGTCATTACAATACGTGTATGTAAGCTGGCCCACTCAACTTAAAACTGTTAGAATTTACGTATGAGTAGTTGAAGAGAATCACACATCGGAAAGGAATAAGAGGTGCAGGGGGACTTATATACAGTAGTGGCTCATAATCCAACAGCCTAACCTTTTGAGTTATCTGTGGTGTCTCTCTCTTGTATGCAAATCCTACTCACATGTACATGTACCAGCCCCCGATCTTGACGACTCTACGCAATTCACAACAGTTTCCTCTGGAGAACCTGTAAATGGGCTCCTAAACGACGTTCTTGATCAGGTCTTACTTTGAGAAGGAAGGCAAAAGCATTCTTTGATGAGCTCTTGAGGGGTCCCTTTTATTTTTTCTCCCTTCTAAGGCCTCAACTTAAAAAGTATGATGATTGATGAAGGATGTGGAGGGCCTAGCACTAAGGTCACACCACCACACAAGATGTTTCTTGCTTTAATATGACGAAACACTAAAAAGACTGGTGGGTGAGAGTGAACTCGTAGTAGGGCGGCTGGAGTGCATTTATAGGACCGGGG